AGTACATCCTTTATTCTTTTTAACAAAATTGCTCTGTATGAAAGGAAATCTCATTTAAGATTTATATTGTTGCCTTTTCTGTGGCTAAACAGGAAAACAATTTCTCTAGAAATTTCTGGGTAAAAGATGAATGAGTTTTCCACTGATTCTAGAGAAGTGATAGGCCTTATACAGGAATTCAGCCCTTTAAAAGAGCCTGTAAAGTTATCTTATTTTTTGAGCTCTAGAAGGACAGATTTGAAGGTGAAACAACCATGCTGCCTTCACAGACTTCGTGACCGAGGGCAGCGGCCCTGGAGTCTGGTTCCTTCTTGTCAGTCGATCCAGCTTTCATGAAGGTCAGTGTCAGTGCTGTGGGGTGATACCATGTACACATTTAATTTCAGCCTCTTCAAGCTTAGGAGTTTGGCAAAGGAAAAAGCAGGATGGGGATGGAGAAAGAGAAATAGCCATGGACATAATGCTGGCTCATCCATTCAGTAAGTGTTCAGAAGAGAAGTCTGAATTTCCAGTCCCAAAGCCAGGTCACTTCCCAGGGGCCTCCAGGTGTTTGACGTTAAATGCTTTGTGTGCAAAGTGACCCCCTAAACTAAACACTAGTCAACAACTTCATCTTGGGCTCAATTGAAAAACAATGATCTGTTCCAAAGCCAGGGAAGAAACTGCATCTGGACTAAGAGATAATATATCTATATGTTGTGTTGTACTGGCAATTGAAGGAATTTTAAAGGATCCCTTAGCTAAACACTAATTTTGCCTAATGTGCTAAACTGAGAACCTAACTCCGGGACTAGACAGGATTCTTGTACTTGAATCCATTCAGCCTTCAACAAATACTTTTAAGCTCCTATTATGTGGCAGGCATTGTTCTAGGTGCTGGGAATACAACAGGGGATAAGAGACAAAACTTGCTGCCCTTGTGAACCTAGCATGGAGTGAATGCCGGCTGGTCTGTGGGACGAGCAAGGAACCAAGAAGAGCGATGAGAACCAAATATGTTTTTAAGTCATGAAAGAGAGGTGACTTTTTAGGGGAAGGTGATAAATTTGGACATTGGACCAGAATGTTTGCCAGTTTTTAAGAGAAGTTTGCTTTAAAAAAAAGATTCAGTTGGTTTCTTTGGATACGAATATAATCTGCTGGATTGTTGAATGAAATAGGATTTATTTCATACAGCTGTGGTTGATCAAGTATTACCAGGAGGGATGAAAATTAGCCCATCATTTAGTTTACTTGGGATAAGCCTAACTGGTCCAAATCTCACTTGTCTTACACATCCAGGGCATGGGAATGACAGTAAATGACAGCTGCTATAAATGTAGTAGTGCTGGTATACTAGAACAGTGTCTGCCACATTGCAGGTATTTAATAACTATTGAATAAATGGGTGAATCAATGAATAATAAAGTCTAGAATATAATCACATTGTAGAAAATTTCACATTACTGTTCATTGTTTTTTCAAATATAGCTAATGCCTTGGGACTACTCATGAACAAGAATATAATATGGTTTTTCTATTTATGAAATCTATTCAAAGAATATATATGCCTTTGAAAAGTTAAGGTTATGCCCAGAATGCCTAATGATGTGCATGCTGATTACATGTGGTACTTGTTTCCTTTTGCCTCCTTCTGGCATGCCACAAAGCAGCAGTGACGAAACGTGAGGCCAGTGGGGCTAAGGCCAAAGGCCAAAGGCCACATTCCTGCGCAGCTGCCCAGCGTGGCAGGAAAGAAATGTTCTCAGCCAGTCTACATGCCCAAGGTAGCCAGCGTGGCACAAATGTGTGCTATTGGAGCGTAAGGGAGGTTCCAGGCCTAGGATGGCCTGGTACGACTTGCTTCCCCATGTGAAAGGCAATCCAAATCTCTCCCAGCTGGTCGTAAGAGCAGTCACAATGTCACCTTTGCCAATGAAAAGCAACCAGTTTGGAAAGTGCTTGTCCAGAGCACACTCCAGCCTTTAGACCGCTAGTGAGTCACAGTGCCCTGGTGGAGGATAGGAAGGAGATGCTGCTCAGTACAGGGATTTCCTGCTCTGGGCTTTTAACCAAAGTTCAAGCAGAACCAAATTCTTTTCTCTGGGTGGAAAGCAAATTCCTTGGAGTACGGGTGAGCACATACTCAGCTCCTAGTAATACTTGATCCACCATAGCTGTATTCACCCTGGCCGATTTTTATTTAATCTTACATTTCTTTACTTTAAAACAAAAACAAGCTCACCAACAATGACCACTTTAATTTACCCCCTCTGTACCAGAGAACTTAGTGCTGCCATAACAATGCCAGTTTCTCCTAAGAGGCAGGGGGTTGTAGTGAAATGAATGAAATGGGTTTAAAACCTCTCTTTGAAAAATGTGCGACTCCCAGAAAGTCACTTAACTTCTCTGAACCTAAATTTCCTCATTGCTGAAATAGGGATCATAACACTTATCTTCAAGATGCATTGTGAAGATTGACTGGGGAACAAAATGAAGTAACAGTTGTAGGGGTGCTTAATTAGTACACAGTAAATATCATTGCCCAGCTTCCCAGTGTCATTTCTCAGTTTTATAAATCACTGAAACACTGGAATAGTTGTGATCTGGTGGAGAATCTCCATGTGTAAGATGTCTTGCCTTCTGTCACTGCCTCCCTGATGATCAGACACGTATGTATGCATATTACCCTGGAAGCCACTCTACAGAACCAATGTGGACTCACCCATCCTTGTGGTTCTTCCTATCTTCTCTCTGGTTAATTGCCAAGATACCCCGATTGCCCTCAACTTCAGAATATTTCTTACTACCCTCACTGAACCAGCTACTAGGGCCTGTCAATTCTCTCTTGTAAATATATCTAGACCCTATCTTTCCATCACTTCAGCCTCAGCTCTGCCCTTTATTCTCTCTTGCCTGAGCCACTGTAAAAGCCTCCAAACTAGTCTCCCATCACCCAGATGTCCCTCTTTTTAAAACATGTTCTAGAAAGCTGTCTGAGGCTCTTTTCAAAAATCCAATTCTCATTATGTCACTGTCTTGCTTCAAAAGCATCCCGGCTCCCCTTTCCCTCAAGAGAAGGTGACTCCTTAACAGCAGTCATGGCTTTTAGCCACTGGGTCCACGGCCCTTTCCAGCTGCACCTCCAGCCACTCCCCCAGTGGCCGCCCCTTGGTGAGCGTCACACCCTCCACATGCTGAGCACTTTCACCTCCTGAGCCTTTGCTCATGTGGTTCCCTTTGCCTAGAATGCCCTCCCTCCCTCAGTTGACAAACCACTCCTCATTCTTTCCAGAAACAGCTCTGGTTCCTGTGTGGACCAGCGTCCAAAAGACAAGTATAAATTTTCAGAAGAGGCTCTCTGGCCTCTTCTGGGACCACCAGAATAGGTGGACATCACACATTCTGGTGGGCATCAGATTGTTTTTTGTTTAACCACCACTTAAATGTTCATCTGTAGGTGCCAGGTTCTGGTAAGACCTTTTTCTTGAGTTTGATCTTTTATTTTGATCTATTTGTTAAAAATATCTTCTTTCTGCCAACAAGGAGCATGTGTAATTTCCTGTGTAATTATTGGAGGATTATAAACCACAACATATTCTTTTTGTGTGGTTGCAGCACTTAAGAAAGTAAAGTGTTAATTAGTGTTGGATGATTGGCACCTCGGACCTTGGAACCTGTCTACAAAGGTTCCAATTGTTTAGCTGTCATTCTGGGATAAAATCCCAAGTAAAATAATTTCAGGATTATAACCAGTAACTTCCTGCTTTGGGACTAATAAAGCTGTTTTGAAGATTACGTCTTGACCTTTGGTTTGAACCCTTGAATTCCATAATGCCACTAGCTTTCCTAGGGACTGTGGCCATGATATAAACAATAAGGCCTTATTTGGG